CAGACACACATTACTGTTCTAAGCAGACTATTTGTAAGTATGTCTCTTTTTCAGTGAGCACAGAATATCGTTCCACTTTCAGCAGATGAATGTGAAAACGCACATGTGTGTCCTCATCAGGATGGGGGACAACTATATCAACCCATAGCACAGATCAAGCAAACCTCTCAACAACACATACAACATAAATGCAGCATTATGGTTGCTGGAAACTTTATAAAGGAGTAAGCGTCCTGGAGCTCTTTAGAAAAGACCAACTTTCGGGATGCCCAGACAGCGTGCCCCATGTAGGCACAGGAGTCTTTACTGCAGTGGCCCTGTTGCGATACTGACCGCGACCCTGCTGCATGTCACCCCCCGCCCACCTCATTCGCTGTCAATATTCAACTGCTATTATTGAATCAAAAATCTAAATGCTTAAAAAGCTCAAAAAAGAAAAGAAAACGACTTTCACTTCGACATGACAGCTGTTAGCATACTGTCAGAAATGACTCATAAGCTACCAACAGCCTTGATAATGACATATTAATTGATTGACACATACATACATATCAGACTCAGTTGAATTTAGACGTGTTGTGAATGGTTTATGTTTTTATATTTGTAATTAATAATGAGTGGGACAGAACATGATAAACGTCTATGTAAGCAATGAAAACAAGTATAAAGTTATAATTTTTATTCCAAAAAGTGTGGTGAAAACCGGGACAATGGTATTCAATGTTAAAAACTGTGTTTTACAGATATTTGTTGTAATTTGGCTACCGTATTCTGAGGTCACAGATGTTACTAGTTTACTGTCATTGTTAACCGCTGACATTATCTTCTTTTGTAGCCCTGATGACACCCTATTCGTCCTCCTGGCATTGACAGAGCTGACTGAGTGTGGAACAGCAGGGCTGCAGCCAGGGCTTCAACATCACGTTCCATGCAGACATCTGGCTCTCCACAGGCTTTACTGACCTCTGATGCCTCTCCCTGGCCTCCTCCATCACAGCAAGGATGGAGTAAAAGGCCGGCTCGGTGTCAGGAGTCAGCGGTGTGGTCTCTGATGGGTCCCTCGAGAGATCAAAGAGCAGTGGAGGATTGTGGTAGGTCACATAGTCCGGCGTGCAGAAGCAGACATGAGTGTGGAAACAGACCGTCTCGTTCTCTGGATAGAAGTTTTGTGTGAAGTAAAAGGCTTTCCACACTGAGCTACCTGAAGAAAAAATAAAACCGCTAAGTGAAACTTCTTGCCTTGAGGTGAGTGAGTGAGTGTATTTTTGGGCAGTTTGCCATGTAGATGAGCTGTCTGAATCTTATCTAACTGACCCCTACAGCAGCCACAGCTGGAAGAAGCACACAGTGAATAAAGCCAAGCTGCAGTTTTTGTTTCTGCAATTAAACTAAGAAGTAAAATTTGCTGCAGATACATAATCTACCATCTGTCATTGCTGGTGTGTTTAAGGATCCTCTGACATCTGAGATTCAAAAGTGAGCTGCTGAATGGAACCTTTTTAATGCAAAAAATTCAATAACCAAATTTCGTTTCCATCCACCAACGAATATTAGGAGTTCATGAGATAAGCAGTGGGTGGCGCAAATTGTCCAGCTGGAAAGAAGAGGATGACACAAAATTACATACTTCAAATAGCGCCAGTCAAACCTCAAACAATGAAAAACAATGCAGGAGACAGGATGGAAATAGTAATAATAGACATTTCTGTAGAGCCAAAATATTTTCACATCAAACCCAGTGAATTAAGGGTTGATTTTGATCAGTTTGAGGACATACAGTACAAAGGTGATGATGTTGGATGATGCGGCTCCAACCAGGACTCTGACACTGACCAACAAAGACACGGCAGGGACAGGAGTGGCGTAAAGTGGGAGAGGAGCAAGAGAGACATCAGACCGGCAGTAACAGTGTGTAAAGCCAGAATATTGTTACATGTAACTCAGTGAGATATTAGAGTTGGTGTTTGTTAGAACAGTGATTAAGATTAACCAAAACGGTTTTGGTGAGTTGTATTTTGTTTCTGTTGAGTTTGAATGAAGTGTGTTTTAAGATGGGTTAACAAGGCAATTTAAGGTACAATATGGAATATCTGTTGTTAGGGGGTATAGAAGAGAGATATGACGCCATAGACAGGCGTTCGGTGAAACGCATCATAGGTGCCTTTTTAAATGTCCTTTCTTTGTTTAGGTAAAATGTGCTGTACTTGCCTGTGCTATCAGTTTTTCCGATATCAATTTCTGTATCAGCAATACCTTCAATACAAAATGTGGTATTGGTTATCGGCACGTACACGTGTGCACCGATCCGATACTACATAGGCCTAATTTATCAACTCCGAAAACCAACTTCCCAGCAGTGTCCCGTCCATTTTTTCCCCCAGGATAGCAAAGTCACAACCTGCCCTATTCTGATTTTGACAAAGGGTTTAACCTGAGTCAGGCCATTCAACAATGATAGCAATCATACAGGCTTAGTAGTATATACACAATGCACGCAATTGTATCGGAATCGCTATCGGAAAAGAAAAGAAATGTATTTCAACATCTCTAATTTTGTTTGTGCTCCATACCATGTGATCATGATCATGATCAATTTCCCATTTGTGGGATCAATAAAGTCTCTCTGTGTCTTATCTTATATGTAATCATCAACATAATACCCAACCCCAGTCCATCCCCATTTGATTGTGGAGTAACGTTTTGAAGCATTGAGTTGGGCATTATGATCGTTGCAATGATGGTTTGTGAGAACCACTGGAGGGGACATACTGTAAGTTGAGCTGTGCTCATTGACTGAGCAGGTTTGACTCGTACGTCATATACGTTCTCGTATTACAGCTAAAGAGTACACAAAAATATGTTTCTGAAACGATTTTACAAAAGGTAGCCACGCCTAAAACCATACCCTTCTTTACCATCTAAATTGGAACATAATTTACGAAATGAACCATTTTGTAAATTATGGTCAAATCAATTCATGCTGTATGGAAGACAACTTGAGAAACTAGGAATTGAGACCATAAACTCATAAGGAAACTTTTTACTGAGCTAATAAATCAAGAGAGAAGTCAGCTCATTTCTCCATTAGAGTGAATGGCATCAGTTTTTTATTGCAGCCAATGGAGCTCCCCCTGTTGGCCTTAACATAGAATGCAGGTTTTAAGACACTTCGCTTTACAGACCTGGAAGCTCTGTCCATTATGTATACTGTCGATGGCTACAATGTTACAGTGTGTTCACATTGTTATTACATAGTAGATAGAGGAAGGAAGCTCCAGGGTCCGGTTGCACACTGTGGTAGCTGTCAAAACTTCCACTGTGCTAGTGCTAATGCTCTCTGTACTGACCATCAACATAAATAAAGATGGACAACATAATAGCTCAAAACATCTTGATCGCCCTCTGGTGGCTGACTGCAGTATAGGTCATAAAGCCTGCTGCCTCCTGGTAGTAGATAAGCCAAATTAAAAAATGAAAATAAACAATAATAATAATAAACTACTGCGCAGACTCTGTCTCTGAATGACTCTGTCTCTGAATGATGTCATCAGCGCAAGATAGCAGCTGCTGTATTCAGATATTTTGATTTTTAATTTTTGTACAGTGGGAAGAAGTGGAGACACAATGTCCATTTTTTATATGTCTATGGCACTGACAGTACGCTCTGCACTGGAGGTTTCAGGTTTCTTTGCTGGTGATTGGCTTGATTTGAATTGTTACGTAATCTAGCTCAGAATTTAGGGAAGTGTGCAGACAGCTCCCTCTTCAGTAAAGGAATGTGAAAACACATCTCTAGTGGCAAACTTTGCACAGGAGGGGATCTTTAAGTATTAAATTCACTGAACAATGAACCCTGCTGGCCTGAAGTGAACCACCGTATACAGCAACAACCTGACTCTTTATTAATAACAAAATACACTAGTAAATTATTCATTACCCGTTCTGCTGCAGTGGCTAATGCCATCCCATGATAAATGAAATCACCCCCGTAGCTACAGTATGGGATAGATTATTATGTTTACATTTTATCCCACTTGGTGCTCTTACTGCTCAGACTGGGCCACTGCCTACTCTGCTCCTTTGACCAGAACACAAAGTTGTTTGTTGAATAATAGCAGAATGTTCTCATGCAAGCTTTTTTTTTATATCATTTGAGTGATTTTTCTCCCACATATGAAAGCTTTTCCTACCTCATGGTTATAAATATCACCTCATCACATGTTGCCTACCCCCAGCCAGGGGCGTTTCCAGAGGGTGGGACTGATTTGCTACCCCAAGTGCCACCCCATTGTCCTTACCTGTTCCACTCCACACTGTCTTTGTTGTTGCAGTGATCTTTGTTTGAATTTGGTACCAACCATGCTGTGCTAGCATTTTTGCCATTTTTTGCATGTGGTATAAATATATTCATTATTTTAGTCTAGTGTATTTGAATATTTCTGCAAACTGGAGTCCAAGAACAGTATTGGAATTGCATAAATTGGAAATGAATGGAAAGCTGAGACACATACTTCATGCCACCCCTGCATCAGTCAATGCCCCCCAGTCAAAAAAATGTCTAGAAACGCCCCTGCCTACTCCTAATACACAGTATTATTTTGAAACCCTACACAGCCTCTGCAATTAAAATTCCTCCTACCAGAAAATATGGCTGAAAGAGGAGAAAGTTAGCAGAGGTAGACAATAACAGATATTTAATAAGTGCTGCTGCAAAAAGATGGACCTTTTTTAAAGAGGGGCAGAGAAATAATGCAAGTATGCAATTAGACACAAGCGTACAAGCTGGTGCGAAAACAATACAATTTAGCTTGTGCAGCAAAACTCCCACAGGAGTGATTACCGTCTACTCCCCGGGAGTAGAACCCACATTTCAGAAGTTGAAACCCCGTGGTCGACTGGGTTCTTTTATGGTAGCTGGCTGAAAAGGTGGGAGAGCGTTTTGGTTGGCGTCTCCCTGCGAGTTAAATCACAGGCTAGAGCAGTAAGCAGTGGGTGACAGGAAAACGAGGGAAGTTAAACCAATATTTAGACCGCTAACTCTGTAATCTGTAAATATGTCAAAATGAAGCAGGGCCTGAGAGGGTTCACACAGTCTTGCTCTTTATGTGTATCAGGGAACAAATATCATGTTAACTGCCTAGTGTTTTTTTCTTTTTGTTTAGCGCTCTAAATATTCTCATGAATAAAATTTCAAAATCAAAATTCAAATCAAAATCACCTTTACATGTTTTAATTATTAAAATTGGTCTATTGAAACACAATAGATTATGACAACAAAGTGTACAAATGAAATAGAAATATTCCCTATTTTCTGTCACTTGCTCTGGAAGATCCATTTAAAAAAAGCAATTGAGAAAAGAATATTAATGAGCAACAAACTTCACGATGAACAATCAGAACATTCAATATAACATGGTTGTTTTTCTTTTGCTAGACATCTTCACATTAGAAACGAGCGACTCCATTTTCGTGTTTTAGTACAAAACAGAGAGCTGAAATTGTTTCACAGTTTCTTCAAAATCCTTCACATAAAATTGAAAGAGACCTTAACTGCTGAGTTTTTTTATTCTCTCTTTCTCATTTTCTTCAAAATTGTCCTCTTCCTTGAAAAAGTTTGCCAGTAAACGACATTGCCTCTGTCGCTTTGGGACTCCAAAGTCATCGGCCGTGCGTCCTCGGTGTGATTTCTCTCGTAATGTGGGCAAGACAGTTTTGGCAGTGCTCGCCATGCTCTTATTTTGTGACAGAATCCCCCAAGGTCACAAAAATACACAAGCAATTTTCTAAGAGTTGTCGGCTGAAGTCAAGTATGTGCATGGCCACCAGCTGATACATTAGCCTTATTCAGAAAGTTTGCAAAATCTACAGTATATGCAGAAGCAACTGTTATTGTCAGGTTGTTCTTTGAGCTACTCTCTGAGGCCACACAAAATAAATATGCAAACTTTCAACACTAGAATGCAAACATATGAAAAATCTAATATACATACTATATGTGCAGTCTGTATACACTGGGTTCCTAGTTTTTTTTTTTTTTTTTTGCTTATGGGATAAGAAAAAAACATGTTTCAAAAGTCATGCTCGAAAAAGGTTTGCTGCAGCAATGAGTCAAGTGTTGCACTCATGAGGAAGAGACATGCCGAGTGTTGTTCGACCTGAGAACCTATGAGTCATTTAAAAAGGCGTGAATGATGTCCCAGCAGTAGAAGCCAACATATAGTCACTTCTGCAGATATTTGGACAGCATCACACCCTTTTTTTCCCTTTGACTCCTCATTCTTATTTTAGGAAGTGAAATGACACATTAACTGTAAAGTTAAAGTGCAGACTTGTCAGTTGAAAAGTGAGACCTACTTTGAGTCACATGAAACGAACAGTTAAAAAAAACCTATAGCCCCTTTTCATAACTCATTTCATGCTGCCAAAATATTTAGACAGATTACATTCAATTAAAGGTTATATATAGAGAAACATTAATATAGCAAACAACAACAATTTGCTATGTAAAGTTACAGTGGAGTCATTGTGTCCTGAGCTGACAATGTCGTTACACTACTCCCTCCGCTCTCTGTGCTTTGTTTCCATAGCCGGTCTGCTCCCTGTGCAGCTGAGGAGAGTGACTGAAACTGCTTTTATCATCTACATTGGTGAATTAAGGATTTAAACCAGAATCAAACCAGAGTTTGTGATTGTTGGAAGAGTGGAAAGACTAACAAAGATGTTTTTGGTGACATTTTTTTGTTTTTATTTTTTTTAGTAAAAACAATTAGCGTAGGTAGTGAGCGATAGCAAAATTACGGCTGTTTCTGGTTAAAGAAAATGTAATATTTCTGTAGGCACCCTTTCCTTAGTGTTGTCAGATGTTTAGAATAACAATCTGAGTCTGTCAGTGGCCAAAACAAGCACTTTGAATGGAGTTACTATGTGATACATTACGGATATTCTGAGAGGCAAAATGAGCATGGAGTATGGCAAGTTATATTACGATATCAAGAATATTTTCACATGTAACTTAGTGAGTTGAGGTTTAATTTGACAAAACCAGAGTTGGTGATTGTTGGAAAGACTGAAAAGTTTTATTTTGTTTCTGTCCCATTGTTTTGGTTTGAGATGCTGGTGCTCTAGTGCAACACCAAGTGGCAAGTGAATTTCTATATATAACCTTTAAGCAGTTGTTTTTCACAAGTCAAAACTTCTCACTGTGCAAAGATTTTTTGGATCCTTGTGCAACAACTCAACACTCCTCATTGTCCCGTCTAGCATTTCCTTTTTCACTTCACTTTAACCTGAATTCAAAACAGCTTGAAAATGTCATGGCTCTCTGAAAGCACCGGACATAATCATCTTTTTTTCTGTCGCTCTAACAGTACTCAATTTAAAACCAGCAGTAATCTTTTCAACCTTTTAGTTCCTGTGCCATTTCCTCCCACAGATAACAGACTGAAGAGTAAAGAAATGTGCTACTATCCAAATATTTCAAGAGCTCACTGCATGAAAACATACTATAGTCAAATGAAACAACACATATTCATCAGTAAACTATTATTCATCCTCTATAATCATGATCATGGTGTGTCCAATTAGACTCCATGGTGGCTCTGCACAAGAGTCTCTGATGAATTTGGAGAAATACACCCTTAAATGCTCTCAAGAGTCACTTAGCATTTGAGTCGTCCTAGTTGAGTTTGAATATAGCCGAACTGAGAGGGACAACTGAGGTCAAAGTTCATACTCTATTCCACTACTCCAGTTCCTCTCTGTGCTCCATGCTCAGATCTCTCCTCCCCCCTCCTCCTATGCTGGACATTTGCCTCCCCCTGTCGTTTTCCTCCTCCCCGTCTTCCTCCTCATCTTCCTCTTCCATTCCTTCCTCCTCTTCCTCCTCCTCCTCCTCTTCGTCCTCCTCCTCGGTGCCGTCCATGGAGTCGTCCGCTCCCAGCATGGCTTGCTGCATGGCCAGGGTGGCTGAGTCCGACGACAGCGACTGGAGGCTGTCCATGCTCAGTGGGTCTGAAGGGAGGCAGGGAAACAGAGCAGAAAAACTATAAATGGAACATTCTAGCAAAAATTCAGACATCTGCATTCATCTGGATAGTATTTAGAAAGTATTTAGTCTGCTTTCAGACAACCGAGGTATGTATTAGCTCTAGAATGAAATCTATACTGAAGAATATCTCAATACAGGGACAAACATCTCGGACTAAAATGGGCCCTGACATGAAAAAGCACACATTTCCCTTGTATTATTGTTGCCCAATTAGACCTTTTTCACAGCAGTAACATGAAATAGTAGGGTAAACATAGGTGTTACCAATGATACTGATGGCTGCTATTGTGCATGTTTACTAGCTGGAAAGGCACTGCTACACTAAATGGACTGAAACTTAAATAGTGTCATTAATAACAACTGTGTTTAGCCTACTATTTCATGCTGTAAAAGGGCCTATTCTCAAGAGAGTTGGACTAGTTAAACAGATGCAACTTTTAATTTGAGTCTTTGTTTTTGCCTTCACATCTTGAAGATCTCAGATCAATCAAATAAGAGAGTCAATAGTGGCACCTAGTGGTTAAGATTGGAACACACAGGATTCAATTTTTAGTCCCCCTCCAGTCAAAAATCGGTTTCTCTTCTTGTTGTTGAGTTTGACTCTAGAAGGATGTTTTCACATTCATCTGCTGAAAGTGGAAAGTTTCTCTGTGCTCATTGAAAATCTGATTTTAAGGGGCGGGGCCTACCAGCATGATTTGTGACATCACA